CCCAACCCCAACCCCAAACCCAAACCCAAACCCGTAAGATTAATTTTTAATTCTGTATAGAGTAGATTGAACAATTTCCATAATTCTTCTCTTCTTAAGACTTTATTTGCGGGTAAACACTTAAGATATTAAATTTTTAACTAGGGGATTTATTCAATTTAATAATATGATAACCTAAGTGTTGGAGAAAATTATTATCAAATTATTAAGAGAAACAAGTCATAAAAGATATATCTATTCTTAAAAAACCCATTATGGGTCTTACATACTCAACACTATCAAGAACTCTCAAAGTTTGACATATTGAAATTTCTTACTATTTATTGATTGTGAATCTTTCTAAAGATGTTTTCTATTTAAACTTAAAGATTGCAAAATTTATATTCTTGTCTTGTTACATTTTTTTAATTAATATTACAACTCTTATTAATCTCCAAAAAAGATTTTTTAATTTTAAGTTATAATAAAACGCCTACCCTTTACTATGGCTTGATCATATATTTCCCTAGCTTCTATTCATATTACCCTTTGTAAAATATTTCGTTCTGATTCCATTCACTAAATCTTGTCTATTTAATTGGCTAACAATACTGGACTTTTATAGAATTCCCTATTTTTTCTTAGGCAAATATAGATTTATGAATTATCCTTTAATTCGTAAGTCTAACGTTCATAATATTCTGATATCCTATTATATAACCTTTCTATTCTTCTGTCTGATAATATTGAATTAAATTCTCAACAAGATGAAGAAATAATTTTTGATTAATTTGAATAGGAAAAACTTGTTAATTCCAAACTAACTTATCATACTTAGTAGATATGAATTTTATTTTTGATGTGATTAAGTAGAAAGTAAGGTTTGTCTATTCTGATTTAACATATTTTCAATTAGTTAAGTTTGTATATATTTTTCACAATTTTAAAATAGGTCTACATTTTTGATTAATCATTCTTAAATTTTAAATTCTTATGCTCCTTTTAATATTGAAATTAAGGTGGAATCGAATTTGTTTTCAATGTTTATCCAATTGTATTCGAATCATATAAAGTAAATTGTTATCTTATCTTTTATTAAATACTTTAACCTAAATAAAAAAATAAACGATAATTAATAATTTATAATAATTGATTCATTCATAAATCATTCATAATTAATGATATTTTCTAATTTAAATTTGCTTAGATTAATAATCCCAAGTCATCAAATACTCTCCATTTTCACTCATCTAACCATATATCTAACAATGCCCAAGTTGAATAGATTATTATGTTATAAAATCACCATTTTGGTTGCTCCTTATCAAATTAATACATTTTCCATTCTTATTCACAATCACACATTTTGACTTGATATATTATTAAGGAAAGAAACAATTACATGTATTGGAATCACATTTAACAGGAACTTCTTTTGTTTTTGAGTACTAATTATTGCTACTATTTATCTCATAAACACGCACCTACTCTTTACAATAAGGTTGAAATGTGAATCTATTGTCATTTATGAAACATAATCGATAACCAAACTATTCAACTGTTATCTTTTATATTACATTCCATTTTTACGATGACTCCTCTATTATTAAGATTAATTTATCATATCCACAAGATATCACTCTATTCTATTTCTCATTCAAACTTAATCCATATACATAACTTGTATGATCTGTAATAGTTTGTGAACATGTCCATTAATAATTCTTTATCCAAAATTTAATAGTTTTATCATCACTTCCTGATATAATAATATCTTCATTATTATTCAATATTAAACAATTAATCTAAGACTGATGTTCATTCAATTTGTATGAACAGATCCATTGACTATTTGAATTCATAGACCATATTATAATCTATTTATCACAACTCCCAGATATAAATTGAGTCGATTTCTTCATAAAATTTAAAGT